AGGCGCGCCCGGCGCTCTCTCCGTCGGGAGTGGCCAAGCTTTCCTGTCTGACCGTTTCCAGTCCCTTTGAGGGCTGAGTCCGTTGAAATCGACGCTGTTGTCTTTGTTTCAAAGGAGTGGAGAGACGTGAAACTCCGGTGGAACCCCGAGGACTACGGGGGGATCCGAGCCATCCGGGTCCCGTCAGACTCTCTCTGGACCCCAGACATCGTCCTGTTTGACAAGTAAGTTACAATCCACCTTCCGTTGTCCAGAGGGGACCCTTGCGTGGCGATTGGGCTCTGGTGACATCTCCTTCCTTCTGAGAGGTGGGTGGCTGTCCGGTCGAATGACCTGATTTCACATTCTTTTTAAAAAATATATTTTATTGATTATTTTACAGAGAGGAAGGGAGAGGGATAGAGAGTTAGAAACATCCATCAGCTGCCTCCTGCACGCCCCCTACTGGGGATGTGCCCACAACCAAGGTACATGCCCTTGACCGGAATCGAACCCGGGACCCTTCAGTCCGCAGGCCAATGCTCTATCCACTGAGCCACACCGGTCAGACCCCGACTTCACATTCTTTGGGTTCAAGTCGGTCCTGTGGGTCCCCTCCTTTTGTGCATGTGCGTGTGTGTGTGCGTGCGTGTGCGTGTGCGTGTGCGTGTGCGTGTTGTTTCCTGATCACAGAGTGTTCTTTGGTTTCTGACATTTGTGACACATTTGGGAACCCCAGGAAGGTGTGAGGAGGTAGGGGGGTCACCACTGTCCAGGACGTGGAGCAGGGGTGGGGGGCGGCTGGCCCTGCGAAGGCAGTGGGTGAGTTAATTAAATATTCGACCAGCCCTGGCCGGTTCGGCTCAGTGGATGGAGCGTCAGCCTGCGGACCGCAGGGTCCCGGGTTCGATTTCGGTCAAGGGCACATGCCTGGGTTGCAGGTTCGGTTCAACATGCAGGAGGCAGCCAATCCATGATTCCCTCTCATCATTGATGTTTCTATCTCTCCCCTCCTCTCTGAAATCAATAAAAATATATTTTTAAAAAACGTTCGACCAAATAGAGCAGGCTAATATTTCATATATATATATTAATCATGTTTAACAATCTTTAATTTTAATGTGAAAGTTCAATATAAGCCAGTTGTAGGGCTTGGGACTTATTCTTTAAAATATATATATTTTTTTATCTCAGAGAGGAAGAGGGAGGGAGGGAGAGACAGAAACATCCATGATGAGAGAGAATCACGGACCGGCTGCCTCCTGCACGCCCCACACTGGGGATCGAGCCCACAACCCGGGCCTGTGCCCTGACCGGGAATCGCACCCTGACCTCCTGGTTCCGAGGTCGACGCCCAACCCCTGAGCCGCGCCTGCAGTGTTACTGTGCGTGTGTCCGCGTGTGTGTTTCAGCGCCGACGGGCGTTTCGAAGGGGCCCGCACGAAGACCGTGGTCCGGTTCGACGGCACCGTCACCTGGACGCCGCCGGCCAACTACAAGAGCTCCTGCACCATCGACGTCACCTTCTTCCCCTTCGACCTCCAGAACTGCTCCATGAAGTTCGGCTCCTGGACCTACGACGGCTCGCAGGTGGACCTCCTGCTGGAGGACCGCGACGTGGACAAGAGGGACTTCTTCGACAACGGGGAGTGGGAGATCGTGAGCGCCACGGGCAGCCGGGGGAACCGGACGGACGGCCACCGCTGGTACCCGCACGTCACCTACGCCTTCGTCATCAGGCGCCTGCCCCTCTTCTACACCCTGTTCCTCCTCATCCCCTGCGTCGGGCTCTCGCTGCTCACGGCGCTGGTCTTCTACCTGCCGTCCCCCGAGGGCGAGAAGATCTGCCTGTGCACCTCAGTGCTCGTCTCGCTGACGGTCTTCCTGCTGGTCATCGAGGAGATCATCCCCTCGTCCTCCAAGGTCATCCCCCTCGTCGGGGAGTACCTGGTGCTCACCATGATCTTCGTGACGCTGTCCATCACCGTGACCGTCTTCGCCATCAACATCCACCACCGCTCGCCCGCCACGCACCACGCCATGGCGCCCTGGGTCCGCCGGCTGTTCCTCCACCG